TTTCTTGATTTCTGTTCAGAATTTTATTATTTCCTTTCTTTTGTTCAATTTGGATTTAATTTTCTCCTTTCTAATTTGTAAGGTAGAAACTGAGGTCATTGACTTGAGACTTCTTCTTTTTGAATATTGTCATTAAGTGCTAAACATTTTGTAAGTATTGCTTTAGGTCCATTGCACAAATTCTGATATATTGTGCTATCATTTTTATCCAGTTCAAAATATTGTCTGAAAAAAAATTTTTTTTTTCAGACAGATTCTTGCTCTGTCACCCAGGCTAGAGTACAGTGACGCAATCTCTGCTGATGGCAGCCTCCTCCTTCCAGGTGATTCTCATGCCTCAGCCTCCCAGCACCACCATGCCCAGCTAATTTTTGTATTTTTAGTAGAGATGGGGGTCTCACTATGTTGCCAGGCTGGTCGCAAACTCCTGAGCTCAAGTGATTCACCCACCTCAGCCTCCCAAAGTGCTAGGATTATAGGAGATTTTTCCAGATAACTTTTTGTTATTTGTTTCTAGTTTATTTCCATTGTAGTCAAATAACATACTTGAATCCTTTTAAATTTTTTGTTACCCAGTATAATGTATATCTTGGTAAATGTTATATGTGTTCTTTAAAAAAAAAAAAGAATGTATATTTGGCTGTTGTTAGGGGTTACATTCTATAAATGTCAATTAAGTCAAGTTGATTGATAGTATTGTTCTAGCCTTCTGTATCAGGGGTCTCCAACCCCCAGGCCACAGACCTTTACCACATAGCAAGAGGTGAGTGGTCAGAGAGGGAGCATTACTGCTTCAGCTCTGCCTCCTGTCAGATCAGCAGCAGCATTAGATTCTCATAGGAGCACAAACCCTATTGTGAAGTGCACATGTAAGGGATCTAGGTTGCACCTTCCTTATAAGAATCTAATACCTGATGATCTGAGATAGAACAGTTTCATCCTGAAACCTTCCCTCACGGTGCCCTGAGGATCCAGTCCTTGGAAAAATTGTCTTCCATGAAACTGGTTCCTGGTGCCAATTGGGGACTGCTGTTCTGTATCCTTACTAATCTTAATACTCTACCAGATGCCCTGTACCTTATGAGGTTTTTACTCTTTTAGGAGGGAGCAGGAGTTACTCTCAGACCTATGAGAGCTCTAAGGATTATTTTTTAAAATCCTTTTTAGAGCTTCTAGCCCTGGCCTTGGGTAGTTCGTTCACATACGTGTACTGACCAATATTCAGCCAAAGTCTTGAGGAGGTCCCTCTGCAGATTTCCTGAGTACTGTGCATATCCCCCCTTATCTGTGGGGGATACATTTTTTTAAAACGGGGTCTCACTCTGTTACCCAGGCTGGAGTGCAATGGTGTAATCTCGGCTCACTGCAACCTCTGCCTCCTGGGTGCAAGAAATTCTCCTGCCTCACCCTCTCGAGTAGCTGAGATTACAGGTGCCCATCACCATGCCCAGCTAATTTATTTATTTTTAGTAAAGACGGGTTTTCACCAGGTTGGCTAGGCTGGTTTCAAACTCCTGACCTTAGGTGATCCATCCACCTCGGCCCCCAAAAGTGTTGGGATTACAGGCGTGAGCCACCACTCCTGGCATTTCAAGACCTCCAGTGCATGCCTGAAATTGCAGATAGTACCGAACCCTATACATACTGTTTTTCCCTATACATGTGTATCTATCATAAAGTTAATTTATAAATGAGGCACAGTAGGAAATTACCAACACTGGTAATAAAATAGAATACCTAACAATATGCCAGCAGCACTACTTTGGCGCTTTGGGGCCAGTATTAAGTAAAATAAGGGCTACTTGAACACAAACACTGTGATATGGTGACTGTCAATCAAAATAACTCAGATGGCCACTAAATGACTAATGGGCAAGTAGCTTATACAACTTGCATATACTTGATTCACATCTGGGGAGACAGAGTGAAACACTGTAAGATTTAATCAGGGTACTCAGAATGGCACACAATTTAAAACTTAGGGATAGTTTATTTCTGGAATTTTCTGTTTAATGTTTTCAGACTGTGGTTGACTGGGTAACTGGCACCATGGAAAGCCAAAGCATGGATAAGGGGAGACTACTGTATCCCACAACCTGAGCTCTCTCCACTTTGGCTTTACTGAATTCCCAGTTTTATTTCCTGTTCAGGGAGATCACCATCGTCTGCCTGAATTTCTTCTCCTTATGTCTTAGCCTAGAAACTTTCTTCATACAGAACGTTTTGGGAATTGTTTGTTTCCCATCCCCAAGGTATCCCTCTTTTTCATGAGTGATGCCCAGTGTCTTGAAAACGATTCTTCCATATATTTTAAACAGTTTTTTTGTTGTTTCTGACAGGAGTTTAAATCTGATCCCTGATACTCCATCTTGCCTGGAAACACAAATCCATTTTCCTGATTATTTTTAACATCATCTTTTTCTTAACTTTTATTTTAAGATCAGCAATATAATCACAGGTTTGTTATATAGGTAAACTTGTGTCATGGGGGGGGTTATACAGATTATTTTATCACCCAGTTATTAAGCCTCGTACCCATTAGTTATTTTTCCTAATCCTCTCCCTCCTTCCACCCTCCACCCTCCAAAAGGCCCCAGTGTGTGTTGAACCCCTCTATGTGTCCATGTGCTCTCATCATTTAGCTTCTACTTGGAAGTGAGAACATCTGGTGCTTGGTCTTCTGTTCTTGTGTTAGTTTGCTAAGGATAATGGCCTCCGGCTCCATTCATGTCCCTGCCAAGGACATTATCTCATTCGTTTTTGTGGCTACATAGTATTTCATGATCAATATCTACTACATTTTCTTTATCTAGTCTACCATTGATGGGCATTTAGGTGGATAGTGCTTCAGTGAACATACATATGGCATGTGTCTTTATAATAGAATGATTTATATTCCTTTGGTTAACATCATCTTTATCATCTTTATAACCTACTTGTGTTGTATTTTGAGTAATGTCCGCTGTGATCATTTCCCTGTCCAATGGAGTTGAGAGGTTCTAATAGTAAATATTGAGGAGCTGCCTTCCTCTTTATTAGATATTACCAGATTCTTTATCTGGATTCTCCCTCACAAAAACAAAAGCTAATGCTTTATTAAGTACCTCCTATGCACCAAACATGTGTTAGGGGTTTTAAATATTTTACTTCATTTAATCTTTATGCTAACTCTGTGAAGAAGTAATTGTCTTCATTAGAGAGATGAGGTCATTGAAACGGAGGAGTTAAATAATTTGCCCAAGGTCGCACAACAAGTAAGTGGCATAGTCAACATTCAAACCCAGGTTAGCCAGATCCCAAGACCCTGCTTTCTACTTCATGATTGCGTCATGATCATGACCCCCTCAGAGGTTATTTTGCTGAGTACAAGAAGATGGCTGCCAAAGCCAACTCAAAAAGATTATCTTACCTGCCTTTGCAATAAGCATTTTACAACATCTAAGACAGGAAAAATGTTAGTATAGCTAGAAAGAATAGTTTCGATTGAAGTTCTGTCAAGTGACAGGAAGAAAAGGAGATGAGAGAACAGTCCTTAAGCGACAGAGGAAGCACATGATTTTAGAAATGCTGGGTCAAGAAAACAATGTAACAATTCGGTTAAGAGAGTGGAAGAGGAAACAGGAAGAAATTATTCTGAGTTGACATGCTTTGGAAAGCAGCTAGAGCAATGCAGAAGCATATGACAGTGACCCCTATTGCTGGCACTGCAGCCTTTTTATTGCCTTCCATGGGAATCCAAAAATCAATTCCAAATAAAGGAGGAAAAAAGGAATGTTTAGTGTCAACCAGGTTGCCAAGATAAAATGTTTTGGATTGATTCCCAGTGCCAAAGCACAGTACACGTATATTTTTGGAAACTTGTTCTACCCACATTTTTATAAACATATGGGTGTTTTGTTTTGATTTTTGTAATACCCACTGTTTTTTAAAATGCCTGTAACCTTTCCTAGAATATGAAGGCAGTATCTTCTAAGTATATATAAGTATGTTTAAAGTTAATTTTATGGCAATATCTAGCATGATTCTTTTTTGTGGCACAGTGCCCTGTTGGAAAACATTAGAATCGTTAAGTCTATGATTCTGACTATTCTGCTCATAACTATTGAGTGACAAAAGACTCAATATGATGTGAGACTGTTTTGCTACTGACCTGACAATAGATGAATAATTTCTAAGACATAGCACAGGATTTCCTCACTCAGCTATGGAGAATTTTCAGTAAAGTTATCAATGAGAATATTTCAGCATATTTGAAATGGTGGCAACAAATGTGTCAGGAAAAATGTATAATTTATTCTTCTGGAACTCTCCACAATTCGGTAGAATTTTTCCCTTTTACTTTTAGTTGACACATAATTGTACATGTTTATGAGAAATAGAGGGACATTTTGATACATGTATACAGTGCTATAGAATTTTATTAGGGAAACAGTGGGTAAGAGGAGAGTCCATCTTAAAACTTCAGTGGTGATTACTCAAGAGAAAGCCCTTTAATTCATGAATAAGTAGAACTTAACAACTAGGCAGCGTGTGCTTTTGGACTCATTGCATCCCAGGAAGTCTCCCCCGATTCCTCTCCAGTGGCCTCTTCCACATTCCCAGGGCCATGCACTTGGCCCCTCCTTGTAGTATCCTTTGCTCTAGGTTGTGAACCACTGGAAGGAGACACTGTGTTCTTCCTTTTCTGTCCGTCAAAGAGGCTAGCATAGTTTTCATACAGTAGATATTTTATACGTTAATTAATTAATTTAATGGCTCTCCTATGAAGGCCAGTCCTGCCTGTTCATTCTTTGTAACCTTAAATGCATAAACATTGGCACCTTTGTATGTTTGAATATGGGAAAAAGCCAAATAAGTGCTTGTGAAAAAGCCAAATAAGAAACAAATCTTAGAAGCTGTTTTGTTTTTTCTTTATTAGGTTATTAATTTAAAAAGTAAAACATGCTCATTCTACTAGTTCCAAGAGTATAGATGTATATAAAAAGCAAGTCAGGGCGAACATGGCGCTGCGAGTGGTGCGGAGTGTGCGGGCCGTGCTCCGCAACCTGCACGTCATCCCATCACCCATCACGTCCTGCCTGCCAAGGCCCTCACAGCTGGGGGTGGGCACCGTCTGGACACTGCACACGGGACCCATTCTGCCCTCGGTGCATAATTTCACAGAGCAACATGAATGGATAACAAGAGAAAATGATACTGGAACAGTGGGAATCAGCAATTTTGCACAGGAAGCGTTGGGAAATGTTGTTTACTGTAGTCTGCCTGAAGTTGGGACAAAACTGAACAAACAAGATGATTTTGGTGCTTTGGAAAGTGTGAAAGCTGCTAGTGAACTCTATTCTCCTTTATCAGGAGAAGTAACTGAAATTAATGAACCTCTTGCAGAAAATCCAGGACTTGTAAACAAATGTTGTTATGAAGATGGTTGGCTGATCAAGATGACACTGAGTAACCCTTCAGAACTAGATGAACTTATGAGTGAAGAAGCATATGAGAAATATATAACATCTATTGAGGAGTGAAAATGGAACCCCTAAATAAACTAGTATGAAATAACACCAAAAATTAAATAAATAAATAAAAAGCAAGTCAGTCATTTCCTCTGTTCTCCAGTCTTTATTCTTCTCATTCTGCCTTCCCCTGTCAGATATGTATGCTCATATAAATATTATTTATATTTGCTATATCACAGACAGTGCTCTAGCTAAATGCCTGCGGATCTAATTCATTTTTCACACTCAATAACATTTTCATTAATAGACGTCTTTTAGCTATGATGGGTAATATACCTTGAAACTGGGTTGAAAAATTACTTTCCTTCTGAATTACTTTCAGAAGAGAGTGTGCCTTTCATGTTTGTTCATCTGTGTGCGGTAAAATATAAAATATGCCAATTTACCATTTTAAGTAAGTTTAGTAGCATTAAGTATATTCACATCGTTGTGGAACCATCCCCACCATCCATCTCCAGAACTGTTTTTTTTGTCGGGGGGGAGACAGAGTCTTACTCTGTCACCTAATCTGGAGTACAGTGTCACAATCTTGGCTCACTGCAACCTCTGCCTCCTTGGTTCAAGTGATTCTCCTGCCTCAGCCTTCCAAGCAGCTGGGATTACAGGCACCTGCCACCACGCCCAGCTAATTTTTGTATTTTTAGTAGACACAGGGTTTCACCATGTTGGCCAGGCTGGTCTCGAACTCCTGACCTCAGGTGATCCACCTGCCTCAGCCTCCCAAAGTGCTGGATTACAGATGTGAGCCACTGTACCTGGCTCATCTCCAGGACTCTTTTCATCTAGCAGAGAAGTAAAATTCTCTGCCCATTAAGCAATAACTCTGTATAACCCAGCCCCTGACGATCACCATTCTGCTTTCTGTCTCTATGAATTTGGCTAGGTACCTCATATAAGTGGAATCAGAATATTTTATCCTTTTGTGACTGGCTTATTCCACTTAGCATAATGGCCTCAAAGATCACTCATGTTCTATGTAGCATGTGTCAGAATTTCCCTCCTTTTTAAAACTGAATAAACTGGGCATGGTGGCGTGTGCCTGTATTCACAGCTACTTGGGGGTGGGGTGGGGGAGGGCAGCTAAGGTAGGAGGATCCCTTGCATCCAGGAGTTCGAGGCTGCAGTGAGCTGATTGCACCATTGCACTCCAGCTTGGGCAACAGAGTGAGACCCTCTCTAACCAGACAGACAGACAGACAGATAGATAGTACATAGTAGTCAGATAGATAGACAGATAGATAGATAGACAGACAGACAGACAGACAGACAGATAGATAGATAGATAGATAGATAGATAGATAGATAGAGACTCGGGATGGATGGATGGATGGATGGGCAGGCAGGCAATAATATTCCATTGTATGTATGTACCACATTTTTATTTGGTTTGTGGTATATACATACATGTTATTTGTTCATTCATCTATCAGTGGACACTTGAGTTGCTTCTACCTTTGTGAATAACGTGGCTATGAACACTGGTTTACAAATATCTGTTCAAGTCTGTGCTTTCAGTTCTTTTGGGTATATACCTAAAATGGCATTGCTGAATTATGTAGTAATTCTGTGTTTAATTTATTGAAGAAACACCTCACTGTTTTTTCATAGCAGCTGTACCATTTTACATTTCTACTAGCAGTGTATAAAGGTTCCAGTTTTTCCACATCCTTGTCGACACTTGTTTTTTTCTGTTTTTTTTTTTTAATATAATAGTAACCTAATAGGTATGAAATGGTATCTCATTGTGCTTTTGAATTGCATTTCCCTAATAATTAGTGATGTTGATCATATTTTCATGTGCTTATTGGCTGTTTATATATCTTCTTTGGAAAGATATCTTTTCAGATATTTTGTCCATTTTTAGTTGGGTTAATTGTTTGTTGTGGTGGTTCAGTTTTAGGCATTCTTTATATATTCTGGATATTAGTCCTTTTTAAGTTCCATGATTTGCAAATACCTTATCCCATTCTGTGAGTTGCCTTTTCACTCTATTGTCCTTTGATGACTTCATGTTTTTTTATTTTGATAAGGTTCAGTTTATTGTTTTTTTCTTTTATCGCCTATGCTTTTGGTATCATATTTTAAAAATCATTGCCAAATCCAGTGACATAAAGTTTTTTTCCATACGTTTTCTTTTAAAGTTTTATAGTTTTAGTTCTTCTGTTTAGGTCTTTGATCAATTTAATTTTTTTCTGTGTATGGTATAAGGTAAGATTTCAACTTCATTCTTTTACATGTGGGTATCCAATTTTTCTAGCAACATTTATTGAAAAACTGTCCTTTCTTCCACTGAATGGTCTTGGTGTCCTTGTTGAAAATCATTTAGTCATGTATGTGAAGGTTTATTTCTGAGCTTTCTAGTCTCGAACTCATTTTTTAAACAACGTTTAAGTGCAAGGGTACATGTACATGTTTATTATATAGATAAACTTGTGTCATGGGGGTGGGTTTATTGTACAAATTGTTTCATTACCCAGGTACTAAGCCTTGTACCCAGTAGTTATTTTTTCTGATCCTCTCCCTCCTCCCACCATCTGCCTTCAAGTAGGCCCCAGGGTCTGTTGTTGCTTCTTTGTGTCCATGAGTGCTCATCATTTAGCTCCCACTTATTAGCGAGAACATGTGATATTTGGTTTTCTGTTCCTGCATTATTTACTAAGGATAATGGCCTCCAGCTCTATCCATGTTCCTGCAGAAGACATCATTCTTTTTGTGGCTGCATAGTATTTCATGGTGTATATGTGCCACATTTTCTTTATTCAACTTGTCATTGATGGGTATTTAGGTTGATTCCATGTCTTTGCTATTGCTATTGTAAATAGTGTTGTAATGAACATACACATGCATTTTTTTTTTTTTGGAGACAGTCTCACTCTGTTACCCAGGCTGGAGTGCATTGTCACAATTTGACTCACTGCAGCTTCCACCTCCCAGGTTCAAGCAATTCTTGTGCCTCAGCCTCCTAAATAGCTGGAATTACAGTCACATACTACCACACCTGGCTAATTTTTGTGTTTTTAGTGGAGACATGGTTTCACCATGTTGCCAGGCTGGTCTCGAACTACTGACCTGAAGTGATCCACCCACCTCAGCCTTCTAAACTGCTGGGATTACAGGCATGAGTCACCACCCTCGGTCCATGTGTCTTTATGGTAGAATGACTTTTGACTTTGTAAATAGTAGTCATTCTCAGCCAGGCATGATGGCTCACTCCTGTAATCACAGCACTTCAGGAGGCCAAGGTGGGAGGATCACCTGAGCCCAGGAATTAAAGACTAGCCTAAGCAACATGGTGAAACCCCATCTCTACCAAAAAAAAAAAAAAAAAATTAGCCAGGTGTGGTGGTGCATATAGTTCCATCTATTCGGGAGGCTGAGGCAGGAAGATTACTTGAGCCTAGGAGGTCGACACTGCAATGAACCGTGATTATGTCACTGCACTCCAGCCTGGGTAACAGAGCAAGACCCTATCTCAAAAAAAAAAAAAAAAAAAAAAGCCACTTTGACTGGTGTGAGATAGTATCTCATTGTGGTTTTGATCTGCATTTCTCTAATGATATAGAGCATTTTTTCACATATTTGGCAAACTTTATTTTTTATGAGTGTTACTAATCTATAATATAGATATATCAGAATGCATTGAAACATTCTCCTGTTGATTGTGTCCAGGCTTTGTTACTACAGGCAGTGTTGCAGTAAACATCTTAAAATATATAGTCTTATAACTTGGTGCTTTTATTTTCCCATGATGCATTCATAAAAGTAGAATTGCTAGATCAAGTGGTATGTTTAGTTTTTAATTTCAGTAGGCATGTTATTTTTTCAAAAGGATGTATGAATTCACATTTCTATCAGCCATAAATAATCCTCTTCTCCACCTCCTTTGTAGCACTTAGCAACCTTTTTTTTTTTTTTTGAGACAGAGTCACACTCTGTCACCCCAGCTGGAGTGCAGTAGCGCAATCTTAGCTCACTGTAGCCTCCACCTCCTGGATTCAAGCAATTCTCCTGCCTCAGCCTTTCAAGTAGTTGGGACTCCAGGCATGTACCACCATGCCTGGCTACATGTTTTTCTTTCTATTTTTAGTAGAGATGGGGTTTCGCCATGTTGTCCAGGCGAGGCCTCAAACTTTTTTAATATGATCAGTTAAAATTTAGAGGCCTTTTTCAGTCAGTACTTAACAGTGAAAAGTGAAAGGATACTCATAAATATTTCTTACGTATTTGGCAGAAACATCCCTCTTGATTTAAAAAAAAAAAAAAAAATTTCTGTCGCTGGGCGCAGTGGCTTATGCATGTAATCCCAGCTTAGGAGGCCGAAGTGGGTGGATCACAAGGTCAGGAGATCAAGACCATCCTGGCCAACATGGTGAAACCCCATCTCTATTTAAAATCCAAAAATTAGCTGGGTTTGGGGGCATGTGCCTGTAATCCCAGCTACTCAGGAGGCTGAGGCAGGAGAATCACTTGAACGCAGGAGGTGGAGGTTGCAGTAAGCCAAGATCTGGCCACTACACTCCAGCCTGGTGACAGAGCTAGACTCGGTCTTAAAAAAAAAAAAAGAAAAAAAAAAATCTATCCTAGGCCTGGTGCAGTGGCTCACGCCTGCAATCCCAGCATGTTGGGAGGCCGAAGCGGGTGGATCACTTGAGGCCAGGAGTTCAAGACCAGCCGGGTCAACATGGTGAAACTCCATCTCTACTAAAAATACAAAAAAAAATTAGCTAGGTGTGGTAGTAGGCACCTGTAATCCCAGCTACTTGGGAGGCTGAGGCACTTAGAATCACTTGAACCTGGGAGGCAGAAGTTGCTCCAGCCTGGATGACAGAGCGAGACTTTGTCTTAAAAAAAAAAAAAGTCTTTAAAAAAAAAACAAAAAAAAACAACTCTGTTTTCTCATAACATGAAAAATGTAAGTGCAAAAGATAGTCATTTTTATGTAGAGTTAAAAGGCAAATTAACATTTTGAAACTATCAGATTTTAAGCGTTTTTCCTGCTTTCAGCCATTTTATTGAAGTAAGGAAACTAGCCATTGGTTTCTA